TGTAACCGTTTCAGCTGTGTGTGCTCCTATAAATTACCACACACATGCGATCAACGTTACACATTCAACTTTTAAGCTCTTAATAATCGCCTTTAGTTATACTATATGTATGCTCTGTAACCGACTTGTTCTTAGTTACCAATATTAATATTCGTAATCAGGCTCACTGACCTACGTGACCCTTCTATCTATAATATTTGTTTCTTACGCCCATTCGTCCATTCCACACTCATTCGCATTCTACATGGACGCGAGATCGACCATTCTTTGGAATCGTATACCGGACCCTATGTACTTTGGACTACAGTCCTTGTGAAACCGGACTTTGAACTATTTTGAGATAATGGATCATAAATATAGTTTACGGACCTTTGTACGTTGTACCGCGTACTTTTGGACTTTGGACCGGGGTCTTTGGACTTTGAGCTTGATACTTTTGAACTTTAAACAGTCGGAAATCTTATCTTTTTATTGGCTGTCGCTTTATGACGACACTTTCCGGGCCTATGATTGGCTCGCGCTGGATGCTCGAAAAGTATATAAGCTCGGCATCGATGGTTGATAAGTGTTCAGTTTTTATTTAGTTCCGGATTAAGCAGTTCAACATAAGTTATCAGAAAAATTATTAAATAAAGTATATTGTGAAAATATTCGAACTGTGAGTTTAAAAATTATTTCTTCGAAAAGGGAAAAGCCTACAAACTGGCGCTGCGACAAAGTATTTATTTTTAAAGACTTAGAAAAATTCTAAAGTATCGAGGCAAACAATACTAAGTCGTTGAAAAAATAAAATTTTATTCAACGGATACTATTGAGGCTAGATACTTAGAATAATTTTCGAAGAGTTATTTTTTACTTTCGAGGCAATGGTACTAAGTCGTTGATTTTTTCTTTGAAAATTATCAGCGGATACTACCGGAGATAGAAATAAAAAAAATAGATTTGAAATAAACTGAGGCCAAAGTACTAAGCTGTCGATTCGACAGATACTACTGAAGCTAAGTAATCAAATCCCAAAAATAAAATACATTGAAATTTGTCAATCAGTCTAGTTTAAATCTTTTATTAAAAAGATTGCTTTAAAAGATTTCTTCTTTTCCGAAAAAATTAGGAAAAAGAAAACAATCGATCCTCGAGAAATATCATCGATATTGACTTCACAAGTTTGAGATTTTACAATAAATTTTAAATATTCAGAGTTAAAACTTTGAAATATTTTTCGGAAGAAAAATAAATTAAAAAATTCTAACGGAACGAATTCCATCGAAAAAACTGGAACCAAGCCAAACACAAAAACAGCGTTAATAAAATACAACAGGAGATTATATTCAAAACAAGCAGTATATTCTTCAAAAAAAAACAACCAATCGGACCAATTCCTGCTAGCAGATCAAATTGAAGCGAAATCAACAAAAGCAAGAAATCAACACACGACAGAAAAATCAATCCAAAAGGAGAGTGGAATCAACAACAAGCGGAGAAAGAACATATACCAAAAAGGCGAAATAAGCAGAATTACAGACAAACCAGCTACACAATATTACAATCAACCTAACTATCAACTTTTTTCAAACTCAAGTAAGTAAGTTTATGATCATATAATTTTTATAGCACTTAAAAGAGTAATGTAAAAAGATACAAAATAGTGTATGGCTTTTCCTTGAACACATGACAATTCCCATATTTCCGTATGTCGGGAATAGAGTCCCCCTCAGATAAAACAAAACGTCATATAAATAAATTACAACTAGAACGAACACTCTTAGAAAAAAGAAAGGGTTCACTGCGTAGGGATAAAAATCCGTACTTCGAGACTCGTGAATATAGATCTCACGAACGTCAAATTTCGGACATAAACAAAAGATTAATTGAAATTGACATTGAATTACGAAAGGAACGTCACTTTTTGGACAAACAAGTGAATATTGAATTGGCAGAAATTCAAGAACGGAGAGCTAAAGAGACAAAAAGAACGCATAAAAGGAAATTAACTACTTTAGAAGAATTTATTAATAATTCATCCGAAATGTTCCGTACACCACCAAAAACTACAGTAGGAGAACCTACTAATACAAACACCCCAAACGTAACTACAACTCAGCCAACTAGTACTAGTGCTGATATGCGAGGAGCTCAAGCTGTACCAATTATAACTACATCTTCAAACCCTATTACAACTTCAATTTCCACAGTTACCAATCCGATCTCCTCAGCTATTGATATTAGAAATATACAAGCAGGTCGTGATGAATGTGGACCCTATGATTTCAATTCAACACTAACTGTTGACTTTAATTTCCGTCCCGTTCAGAGTATTTTTTCAAACATCAGACCTAGATTGTCAACTATTATTGGAGACCCTCCGAGATATGAATTACCTCCCGTATATGAAACAGCCATAGAAAGAGAAAAACGCGACGCGGCTCTTGAAAAAGAAAGACATGATATAGCTCTAGCTAGAGAAAGACTTGAAGCACTTTCAACTAGGCAAGGACGCGAAGTAGAACAAAGTATTGCAAATCAAAACATTCTTGGAGAAAATCCACAATCTACGGGTGCAATCAGAAAAAATCCCGCTACAAGGAGTACAAGTGTACCCGAGGATAATTTATCTCGGGCTCCAAACACTACAATAATCCAACAATCACCGCAAGTTTTATCGAGCGGATTTTACAATTATAATCCGACTCCGAAGCAAAGAGAAGCGGAATATCCTCGAGAATATGATTATGAACAGCAATATTATTCTCAAAATACAAGACCGAGAGTAACATTTGACGAATATCAAAATGATTCTTATAATAATCACATAGAGAATCCAAGACTTGCACCAATGTATGAAACTGAAACTCAAATACCCCGCCAGGTGTCAAGATCCTATAATAATACTCCAATTTTCAATGAAAATACACCCTTCAATAGAAACACTCAATCAGCTAATAATCGAATTCCTTTTAGAGAAATCTCAGCCCGGGAACATAGCTATAGAGATGCAAGCGTTGCAAGAGAAACTTATTTGAAACGCCTTAAAAATATTCCCAAATTTAATGGCGATTCGTATAGTGAACTTAAAGAGTTCATTAATAAAGCGGATACTTCATACCATTACAGTAGTAATGAAATTGAAGAGGACGAATTCTTTGAACAGATGATATTCCAATTGGGTGAAGAACCCAAAAACGTTATAATCAATCTCAATAACCCAGATTGGGTTACAATTAAACAAAAATTATTGAAACATTATTCCTATTTATCAAACAAAGATTTATTGGCTAGTCAAATAGAAAATCTACATCAAGAGAGAAATGAATCTATTCTCAAATATTCAGAAAGAGCCAGAAAACTCCTAAGAGAACGCAATGCGACTTACAGTAATTTATCAGAAGATCAGAGAAGAGAACATAACAAAACAGCCCTCCGAGCTTTTGCCAGAGGCCTAAATGACAATAGATTGAAAGAAAAACTATCAATTAGAGGTTCAGACACTCTTGAAAACTCCATAGCTTACGCTTTAGAAGCAGAGAGTGAAAGTTTCCGTGAAATTCCTCAGTTTGAATTGTATTGTAGATATTGTCGCTCAAATGGTCATCGTGAAAGAGACTGCAGACGCAAGAATAATGGACCAAATAATATAAATGATTTAGCTTCAATTTTACGATCTTTAAATATGTCAAATCAAAATAATTTCAGAGACAATTCTAGAAATAATATGAGAACTCCTAATGCCGGCTATAGATTCGGAAATAATAGATTCAGTAATTTCCCAAACCGACAAAATTTCTCACGTAACAATAATTATAGAAACCCTTTCAATTACGAAAATCGGAATAACAGAAACTATGAAAGTCAAAATTTCAGATATAACAATAATAGAGTCTATGATAGAGGTAGCCCAAATAATTTTAATTATAATAGCAATAATCGCTATAACAACAATAACAATGGCTACAATAATAATAGCAATGCCGGATATAATGGCAATGGTCGCTATATCAGCAATGGCAATAATAACAACGGTAATAGGAACGAATACACGAATTATAATGGAAACAATAATAACAGGACTAGCTTTAATAGTCCAAATAGAAATAATTATCGGAACGATAGACCTGGCCAAAATGAACAATTTAATAATCGTCCACGATCTAATAACTTTGCTACAATTTTCGAAACCAATGTCGAAAACAACAATAATAGAGAGCACTCTTCGGAAAACTTTTAGGGATGAATGGAGAATTTGGCCCTTACCATTCATCCAATATGACAATAAATTTTCGTACTTCAAATAATGAAATAGGAATTTTAAATACTTTGATGGACTTTCAATTTATCACAAAACAAAAATTTAATGAACATGAATTAATAACGATTGAAAACGATTTAATAATAGAAAATGGAGCACCTTATATAATATTGAATACGAATTTTACTACTAGGCCAATCAAAATCTTACTTGATACCGGCGCAGCTATAAGCCTCATTGCCGATGATATTATTCCCCAAGATATAACAATTAATAAATATACGGTGACATTATACGGAGTCACTGGAAAAAATGTTTCGATCCAAACTAAAGGTATAATTCAGGGATCACTGACGATTGGCAATCGAAATGTTGAAGCAACAATGCATCTTATTGAACGAAAATTTGCAGGCCTTTATGATGGCTATTTGGGCTTTGATTTTTTAAATTCATTAAAAGCAACGATCGATATAGAAAGAAATAAACTAATTCTTAAACTCCCCAAAATTTTATATACCTTCAAAGACAGGAATGATTTAGATATTGAAATTGAAAAATTATTAAAAATGTGTGAAAACATATACGAGGAACCGAAAAAGGGGGAAAAAATTATAAATAACGCAATAACAAATATAAAGAAAGGGGAGAATGATATAAATAAACAAATGAATATTGAAATTGAAGACTTACTAAAAATGTGCGAAAACATATATGAAGAACCAAAAAATGGGGAAAAAATTATAAACAACGCAATAAAGCATGAAATAACGAATATAAAGAAACAAAAGAATAATATAAATAAACAAGAGAATAATAAATATTTTGAAGCTATTAATTTTTATACAAGGGAAATTGAGAAACAAAAATCGATCAAAGTAAATCCTGATATCACACAAGAAAAGAATACAGTTTTTAACATATTGGGGGAACAAAGATCTAATTTTATTTTTGACAAATTAGATAAATCAAAATGCTCCAAAGAAGAAATTGAAACGGTCAAAGAAATCTGTGAAAATTTTTCACATCAATTTTATGTCGAGGGCGACAAGCTTGGTTGCACAGAAATAATAAAACACAAAATAGAACTTATACCAAATGCTCCAATAATAAATACAAAACAATATAGAATTCCACAAAAACTAAGAGTTGTTTTAGAAGAAATAATAAAAGATTATGAGGAACAAGGGATCATTGAAAAGTGTCAATCAAGTTATAATTCACCTGCAATATTAGTTAGTAAAAAAGATGATTTTGGCACTAAAACAGACTATAGATTTGTGGTTGATTATAGGAAATTAAATGAGGTAACCCTTTTTCAACCTTTTCCTCTCCCATTAATAGATGAAATATTGGAATCCTTTAGTGGTTGTTCAGTTTTTACAACCCTAGATATTAAGGGAGCTTTTCATCAGATCAAAATGCATGAAGACAGCAAACATTTAACAAGTTTCACAGTAGGTAACTTCAAATATCAATGGGTCAGGCTCCCAATGGGGCTATCTACAGCACCTCTCACGTGGCAAAGGACAATTAACACCATTTTGGTGGACCTTATTGGTAAAGGGGTATATGTTTATCTTGATGATATAATAATTTACGCAAAAAGCAAAGCGGAGCATGACTCAATTTTACATAAAGTGATGAAACTTTTAAAGGAACATAATCTTCAATTAAAAATTTCCAAATGTATCTTCTATGCCAAACAGTTTGAATATCTTGGCCACATTATTTCAAAACGGGGCATACAGGCGAATCCAAAGAAGATCGAAGTGGTTAAGAACTTCCCAATACCAAAAAATGTAAAAGAAATACAAAGTTTTATTGGCCTATGCTCCTATTTTCGTAGATACGTAAAAGACTTTTCCAAACTTGCAAAACCAATGTTGCTCTTACTTAAAAAAGAACAACCTTTTGTTTGGACGCATTTGCAACAGGAATCATTTAACAATTTAAAGAAAGCTTTAGCAGAACAGGTGGTACTTGCTTTCCCTAATTTTGAGGAATTATTCTACGTAACTACCGATTGTTCTGAATATTGTATGGGAGCTATGCTTTCTCAGGGTGAACTAATGAAAGACAGACCAATATACTTTTTTAGTAAAACATTAAATGATCAACAACAAAGATATTCAACTACAGAAAGAGAATTGCTGGCTGTGGTGGAAGGAATAAAAGCCTTCAGACCATATCTATATGGGCGATTCTTTATCTTAATAACTGATCATCGTCCCCTGTGTTATTTGTTTAATATGCGAGACTGCGGTTCCAGATTGTTTAGACAGAAACTGGAGTTATTGGATTATAACTTTAAAATCATTTACAGACCAGGTTCTTTGAATTGCGTCGCCGACGCTTTAAGTCGAATTAAACCTGTATCCATCGAAGAAATGTTGGAAATCGAAAAGAAAAAAGAAAACTATGCTATAACCAGAAGCAAGGCATTGGAGGGGGCAAACGAAAATTTGAGATATACAATAGAAGAAAGGAATGGCACTTTACTTCGTAAGAGAGACTACGATATAGTGTTTCATTTACTTCCAAAAGAAGATAACACCTTAAGGGATAAACTTTCAGATAAATTTGGCATAATTAACGTCCGTCAAGAATTTAAAAATTTTCATACACATCACTTTGCCAGAGAGATATCAAATCAATTTTCAAATAGACAAAATATGAATGATACATTAAACTGTATCACAGATATGCTTAAAATCTGTGAGAAAAAAAATGCTTCTAACATAGCAGTAAATTTAAGCTTCGAGAATACAAGACATTATCTATTTTTTAAAGAACTATTTCAAGAAACATTTACTGGGAAAGAAATTTGTTCTGTTTTTTATTTGAATAAAATTGTTGAAATTAAGGAAAGAGAAGATATGATAAAGATAATGGATCTTTATCACCAAACCCTCCTTGGAGGTCATTTGGGTGGTGAAAAATGTACAAAACTATCTCGAAATTTTATACATGGAATAATATGATCGAGGATATCAAGAACTATGTTAAAAAATGTGCAACATGTGAGAAAACTAAAGTGAGAACAAACACCCGGATCCCCATGCAAATATCCACGCTGGGGGAATGCTCTTTCGACCACGTTTTCATTGATTTTTTGGGTCCAATCTCAACTAGTATCCACAACAATAAATATATATTTGTAGCAGTATGTGATTTGACTAAATACTTAATTGCGATTCCAACCCCAGATTGTACAAGCCTTACTTCAGCCAAATGCCTTTTGGAGAATGTAATATGCCACTTCAATTTCCCCTCACGTATTATATCTGATAATGCCTCCAATTTTTCTAGCCAAGTGATTAAAGAGTTAATGAATCTATTTGCAATTAAAAAAATATACACAACCCCGTATCATCCCTGCAGCAATAACGTGGAACGATATAACAAAACCCTCAATGCTTATCTCAGGGCATTCACAGCTCAAAAAAGAGAAGCATGGTGCGAGGCCCTACCTTACTGTTGCTATATGTATAATAACAGCGTACATAGCACTACGGGTTTTTCCCCACACCGACTTGTATTTGGGTTTGATGTACAAATCCCCAGTCATCTAACCAAAAAGAAGGCATCTTATACATACGATAACTTAGCTGATATTACTAGAAACCATATAATAGATGCTCAAGAATTGGCAAAGGAACATTTATTCCAAAAGAAAATACAAAACAAAAAATATTATGATAAAAAGTCTAAAGAATACGATATAAAAATCAATGATTTAATTTTGATAAAAAGTCCCGTCAAAAGCCACAAATGGTCTGACATTTATGAAGGACCATATACAGTAGTGGATGTACATGAAAGTTATCTAGAAGTTATGAAAAGAGGGAAGAAGATTAAAATACATAAAAATCTAACAAAAAAGGCTTACGCAGATCACAATATTAAAACCTGAATTATCTCCATTTCTGAAAATTACAGGATGAGTGACACTCCACCTTCCACCAAATATTACCTATATCCAGAAGAAACAAGGAACGAAAATTTATGCCGCATCTGGCACACAGGAAATGTTAGAGAACGAACAATTCAGGAAAAAGAGGAACTAAAATATGACATAAATTGCCTATACGAAATGAGATATTCTGAAAATTGTCTTGAAACCATATTTAGAATACCTTTACAAGCATATGTTTTAAAAGAAAAATTCGAGGGTCTATTGGAGATTTATGATCTCCATAACACACTACTCGATAATAAATCCGTATGGTCGGAGGACAATGTAGACTACTTTAAATCAATAATAGAAACCTTTTGTAAACGCACAAGAGATAGAAAGGGTATAGATTCAATAATTCTTGAAAAATGGGACAAAAATATTAGACAATCATTTTTCCCAAAGGGAAAAAATAATTATATTTTGGATAGAACCAAGAGAGATGGTATAGAGGAACAAAAAATCGAAGTGAGAAAAATTATCTTCGAACATCACATTTTCAAAAAATTTAAAGCAGAAATTAGAGAAAAAACAGACGTAATATACTATTTGATATTTTTGATGGACGAAAGAATTCTCAAGTTTATTAATCCGTTTGAAAAATTGGACATTGCTACCCAACACTTAAAATCTTATGGAGAAAGTCTTCCCACATCTATAAAATCTCATGAAGATGCAAGGCCAATCTACGACGCATACATTAAAAATCTGGGATTTGATTATAAAATACATTCCGAAATAGCGGACCTTTTTCGTAAAATTAGCCTGCTCACCTACGATAAAAAACTTTCCCAGGAAGAGATAAATAACAAATTCCAAGAAATTTGGCCTATTACATGGTGTAAATGTGAATATCCTTTGGGAAATATTAATCTAAGTGAGCAATACGAAGAGTACGAACAAAACCTTGTCGAATCCTTCAGGAATATAAGAAATGCGAGAATAATAAATTTCAATAAATTTCTAACTCAAGATATTGAACGTCGTAAGGCTAATGATTTTAAGAAACAGCGAAAGATTATCA